TATACTTTTAGTAAATAAACACTAGAAAGTTATTTTAGACTAAGGGTTTAATAAGCCTCTTTTTATAGTTATACTATTATATTTATAATAATAAAGATATTTTTAATAAAGCTTATTTAACTTATTACTTTATAGTACTTCTTAGATAAAGCCTATTAGCTATTTTTATAGTATTAATTTAATTTACTACTTAGGCACTTATAGATTTTTCCCCTAGGAGTCTATAGTTATAGAATAAAGGTTTCTTATATTCCTTTCTACTAGATTACTACACTACTTAGTTAGTAAGCTTTTATAAGAAGTACTTTTAATACCTTTATTTTTCTTAGTGTTCTTTAACTATAGTCTTTATAGTTTCTTAGAAGTATAATATTATTACTTATATAAGATCTAAAACCTTTTAACTTTATATAATTATACTAATACTTTAATTACTTTATAACTATTTATTAATAAAGGTATTATTACTAACTATTAGTAAGTCTAGTATATTTAGGCCTTATAATAGTAACCTTTTTTATACTTCTTGTTTATTAGGTCCTTATATAAACCTTTTTAATAATAGTAGTTAGTCTTTACCTTTAATTAAGTATATTAGGTACTTAGCTATAAATAACTATAGCTTGTCTATACTAGTAGTATATTAATAATAAGTTAGTAAGTAATTAGTATATTTACTATTATTTTAATTTATTTTACTTATACTAGTTACTTAAGAGAGATAAAAGCTTAAGAATTATAAAATAATAGCTATAAGTACTTAACTAGGTAGAGCTTAATAGTAAGTATTAGTATATTATAAGACTTAAGTATATAGAGCCTAGACAATAGGGGCTTTACTACTAGAAAACTAGATAGTAAGGTAAAGCACTAGAGGCTTAGTAACCTGTTGCTAAGATCTATAGCTATTACTATAAATCCTATTATAATTTTATAGTTAGTTATTATATAGTTAGTTATTATTTAGTTAGTTATTATATAGTTTATTATTATTTAGTTAGTTATTTTATAGTTAGTTATTATATAGTTAGTTATAATAAAAAAGATTAAGTAAATAAAAGAAGAGATAGTAAATAAATAAATAAACTAGTAGGTAGAAAGATAAGTGTAAGTATATTATTATTAGAAAGCTTAAAGAATTAAAACTAGTTCTAGTAGGTTTTTCTCTTTTATATATAGTAAATAACACTTAGTAGACTTTTCTATAATAGTATATATTAACCTTATATTATATATATAATAACCCTTTATAATAGTTATTAGTAGTTCTAAAACCTTAGCTTATTAAGTTCTTATAGATTTACTAGATCTAGGTTTAACTTGTTTTATCTAAGTTAAGTAACCTTGTTAAAAGTACCCTAGACTATATTATATTATTACCTTAACCTTAACCTTGTTAACCTTATTAATACTTTAATACTTTTTAAAGGCAAGGTATTTCTAAGAAAGTAACTTTTAATAAGTCTATATAGGTCTATTAAGTTATATAAAGAGTATATTTCTCTATAGATAACTATAATATTCTTATATATATATACTTTTAATAAGAAAGATTAGGCAGATAGGAGAAGAGATAGGGAAATTAGTAAATAGAAGGATATATATATATTTATTATTGTTAGAAGACTTAGAGAATAAAACTACTTCTAGTGGTTTCTTCTCTTCTATATATAATAAATAATACTTACTAGATCCTTTTATAATAGTATATATTAACCCTATATTATATATATATTAACCCTTTATAATATATATATTAACCCTTTATAATAGTTATAGTTATATAGTTATTAGTAGTTTTAAACCCTTTAGCTTGTTATAGATTCGCTAGATCCAGTTTTACTTGTTTTGCCTAAGTTAGGTAACCTTGTTTAAAGTACCCTGGGCTGTATTGTATTGTTGCCTTGACCTTGACCTTGTTAACCTTATTAATGCGTTAATACTCTTAGAGGTAAGGCACTTCTAAGAGAGTAACTCTTAATAGGTCTATATAGGTCTATTAGGTTATATATAGAGTATATCTCTATATAGGTAACTATAATATTCTTATATATATATATATATATATATATATATATATATTTATATCCCTTATAGTTATATTATAATAAGGGTTAAGGTTAAGGTTAAGGTTATATTTTCTTATAAGCCTTATATCTAAGTCTTTTAATATCTTTTATAGTTATAGTATAGTTAAAGTTATAATTATATTTTCTTATAACCCTTATATCTAAGTAGTATTATATAGTTACTATTTAGTTATTATATAGTTACTTACTTATAGTAGCTTTACTATAGTTATAGTATATTAATATATTATACTTATTCTATAATATATATAGTACTACTAAATATACTATTTTAACTAATATATAATTAACTTATCTTTATTATTTATCTAGTTCTTTACGTAAGGATAGTACTAGACCTTAAGACTTTTTACTAAATCTTAGCTTTTTAATATACTATATATTAAGTTAAATCTATAAATAATACTATATAATATAGAGAAATATATAAAGTATTATATATAGTTAATATACTAATTTTAATTACTTTTATTTTTATCTTGTATTATTATATATTATATAAAATATAATATAAATATAATATAGTATAAATATAAATATATGTATTTCTTTTCTAATATAATACAATATAAATATATGTATTATATTTATATTATATTATATTATATTTGTATCATATTTTTGTATTATATTATATTTGTATCATATTTTTGTATTATATTATATTTTGTAATTTCTTTTTAAATTCTCTAAATCTTTATATATTTCATATATGAGTTAAGTAATTATGTTTTTTTAATATATTATAAATATAAATATATATATTTATATTTATATTTCTAAATCTATTTTAGAATAATATAAATACATATGTTTATATTTTTATATTTTACATTCTATAAATACACTAATATATAGCTATTAGCCCCTTAATAATAATATTATTAGGAAAGACCTAGTAAAAGTAAATAATAAGGTTCTTAAGAGTCATTATTATATCCTTCTTGACTAGGGTAGTAAATTAGTTCCCCCTTGTAGTAATATATTTATATATTATATAAGCTAAGTAAAGTAGTAAGTGCTAGAGATATAATACAAATATTAAACTTTAGAGAGTAATATAATATAAAGATATATAAATAAGTAAATTAACTATATATAAACTAGTTAACTAACTAACTTTAGCCTTAAAGTTAGTAAGTTAATATTAAACTATTTCTAAAGTTAATAGATTAGTTAAGAAAGTTAGTTAATAGGGTTGTTTTTAATTAAGCGTTAGAAACTAATATTTATAATTAAAACAGTCCCTATTAAGGTTCTATAGCTGTTAAAGAGCTAAACAAAGAGCTATTACACAGGTAGATTGATATATGTCTACAAGAGGACCAGATGCGCTTCCTGGTAGTTGTAGTTGCAGTAAGTCAACTCCTGTCGATGTATTATGGACCCAGGCGCTCGAATCGGGCAGAGATGTTGAAACAATCCAGATACACGATCGCAACCTCAGGTAATAATAGTATGTGCAATATAAGGCAGTAACGCCGTTCACTATACGACCCTAGAGAGCAATCACAGATTATACTCAGTACACTAGTCTTGCAGTAGTTTGGTAATTGCTTTGACCTAGAGATAGACGATTCTAAAACAATGATGGCAGTCTAACATTATTCCCCTTCGGGGCGCCTTTGGCACTCCGCGTAGTTGCAACCTACAGGGGTTAAAGATACTGATTTTTTAGTGAGAAAAGAGCATATACCAAAGGGCAAAGGGATATATACCTGGCATCGGAACCGCAGTTGCTTAGCAAGAAACCACCTGGCATCCATTGAGATCACAGCAGACGTTGGTGTTCTGAAAGCATGTACCGCAGTCGCGTTTGCCAAGGCTTGGTGAGTTAACTGCAATGTCTTGGTCCTTTGGGAATGGCGTGGCAGCAGCAGCTGCGATAAGCGTAAAAAGTGTTAAAAGTCTCATTTTGAAGTATTGAAAAAGGTGGATGAGATTTTAGTAGTTGACTTAAACCAGCAACGGTATCAAAGGCTAATATACCTAATTTAGTGATGTATGTTTTGTGTAATGATAAAAGGTCGTAGGTTGGAGTACTGCGTAGGAACTTATATTTTTAGGTGATTTTATGAACACTATCTATAACCACGACGTATTTTACGTAACGTTTAGCTAGAGAACTTTATGTCAGACAGGTTGATCAGCATAATCAAGGCCAATTTAATTAAATTAGATAGTTACATAGCAGTTTCAAAGCAAGGTGAAAGAGTCATGAACCTTTTTAAAAAGTTTAAAAGGCACCACTACTAGTAATATGACTCGGGCCTGATGGGTCAACGCGTGTAGCTACCCTTATGAATACTTTGTTTGTTTTTCTACAAGTCTTTTGTCTTTTGTCTATCTAGCTTTTCTCCTAAACATTTGCCGGGAGCCTGTGAAATGTAGAAGCGCTCCTGAGAAGTTTCGTGCATTATGCCTAGGTAGATCACGATAACGGTAACGACGGAAGTTCTATAATGCGTTCAACTAAGATGTCCACATCCCATTAACAGCTTAACAGTTGTGTACAAGGTGGGTCTCTCACAGAGTCGCACGGTTACCGACAGTTAAATACACAGTAAAAGTACCATGCTCAGCAGTTCACACAATATAGCTCTGTGTCTATATGGCAGCTTTTACCCGTGCGGATACGAGCGAGGTCTAGTTCCTCTGGCTTATTGTCCTGTAGGTTTACCTTGATACTAATATCAGTGCCTACAATATGTATCCTGTACCTATAGCCCTCGCAGCAGCCGAACGGTATCACTGCTAGTGAATCCGCCCATTTCTGGCAATCTTATGCCGGGTACTAGTCCTGGATCCATGAAGTCAAACTCGAAGCCGAGGTAGGCAGGCCCGGTACATATGTGTACCGACCCGCTCTTTGACCCGCTTAAAGATGCCTTCGGCATCAACGTTAACTCCGTCCAAACTGTTCCGAATGATCCGAATCAGCCCTTAAGTATCATTATTCAGAGTACCTTACGTAGTAGGTTTATAGTTAATAAACCTTCAGACAGAAACTTTTTACACCTGAGTCATGGTTATTGTACAGTTTCCCTACATGTAAACCTCTACTATATATTAGGCTCAGTTATACAGCTTCTCAACACCTTCTATTTCCCTTACAAACAACTTCACTATACTAGTCTTAACTAAAATGGTTTCTTCAAAAGTTCTCCTTATTCTCACTACTGCGTGCCTTGTGCAGCTTGGTGTGACTTCTCCGGAACCTGTGCCTGTGTTAGGCTGCGCTAGTTATGCGCGAGGTACTCTTGGACCCTGCGCTGTAAGAATTCAGACTCCCACTTGGAAAATTTTAGGTATTATAAGTCATACTAACCTACTTGTACTCAAAGGACTGCAGTGGAGACTGCGATAGGCACGGATTCCCCTGCTGCGCCGAAGTTCCTCCTACAGAGTGTGGAGGCCCAACATGTCCTAACAATTAGCTATTTGACGAGAAATGTCGCTAGGACCAAGTCAGAACTTGTTAAAGTGTGGTGATTGGCCATGAGCGAAAGTGGGTAGATGTTGCTGTCATTGGATAGATGGATTTCCCTACTTAAGAGTGGCGCTTTGGATGACAAATACATGGGTTAAAAGGCCACGAATTCAAGGCCACAACCACAGCAAATTCGCCAATAGTTACGGAGGAGCCTGTCAATAGTCCTTGCGGAGAATGCCAAGCCCACCCCATGAATCTAGACCCACTTTAACTATAATCCAGCCAATTAGAGCAACTAGATTAATCCCCTTTCTTTTTCTTAACTAGGGCCCTAGCAAGAGTAATTATTATAACAACAATAACAATAATAATAATAATAATACTACTTTTTTTACCTTGCAACTATTACTGTTATAGTGCATATTAACCCTATTATATAGGTAATTATTTTTGCCCTTTAAAGCTATATTAGGGGTAAATTAGCTAACAAGGTAATAAAAGCCCTAAGGATTTTCTAATATATAGTTAAAAATATTCTTATATAAGTAAAAAAGTATAGCTTTAACCTAACTACTTCTACCTTCTCTTTATTACCTAAGTACTATAATAATACCCCTTAAACTAGCTAACTAAAGAAGGTAATATAATTAATTAAAGAGCTTATCTTATAAAAGGTTTACTATAATTAATATAGTAAAGAAAAAATATATACTAATATTACTAGTAAGCTTTAAAGAGAGCTTAATATAGATATATTAGCCTTAATAGTCTACTAAATCCTTTAGTAATATAGATTTAAAAAGACTAAGCTAATAAAGAAACCTAGTCTATCTTAATAAATAAAACAAGATAAGCTTTCTTAGTACCTAGCTTATTACTACTAGACTATTAAAGATTAAAAAAAGGTTATATAGTCTAATAAAATATTAGTTATTTTATCTTATTATTATAGTAACTACTATCTATAGTAATAGGTCTATAAGGCCTATATAAAGTTATATATTTATACTTAATAAAAGAAGTATACTAAGTTTATATTCTAAGGTTACTTTATATATAATAAGAAAAGCCTTTACTACTATTAGTTACCTAAGTTAACTATAATATAATAAGAAGCTACTACTAAGGTTAAGAAGTTAAATAAGGAGTTAAAGCTAGTAAAGCGCCTTAAATAAGAACTAGAGAATAAAATAGCCTAGCTATAGCTCTAAAGGATCCTTAGCTATAAACTAACTTTTTACTAGAACACTTATACTAGTAAGTTAGTCTATAAAGGTAAAAGAGAAATTAACTAGTACTATTACTAAAAAGAAATTCTTTTACCTAAGCTTTTCTTATTTATTACTAATAATTACCTACTTAGTACTATTATTTAAGAGAATAAAGCACTTTTTTATAATTATTACTATATTTACTATATATATACTACCTATAATATTTAAAAAATACTTTAGTATAGTAATAGCCTTAACCTTAACCTAATTAAACCTTACTAGCTATAAATAAAGTAATTTATAATAAAGAAAAGTACACTAGTTAACTAGGCTACTACTATAAAGGTATAAGAAAAGTACTAGTAAGTACTACTGTAGGAGAAAATCTAGGCTTAGATAAAATAGATCTTAGCCTATATTAAAGTAATTATTACCCTTAATAGCAGTAATAAGTATAAGGAGGGCTAGTAAGCTAGTAAATACTAATTAGAGGTTAAATATAGTAAATAAAAGCTATTAAAAGCCTTAAATCTAGCTAACTTTAGTGCTCTTAAGGGTGCTCTTAGGGGTACAAAATGCTAGCAAATGCTGGCTGTAATTACTTTTAGTGGGTGTCCCTGTAATTACCTTTGCCACTTAACATAGGGTAGGCTTAGTATTCTCTGCAAGGACTATTAACAGGCTCCTCTGTACATAATTAATATACGTCTAATTAATTAGGGATATTATTATAATTAACTACTATATCTACGCAGTTTAACAGAACTTCTAGTATAATTTACCTAGTATAATGTATTTTAGATAAAATAGCTAATTAAATCTAAATATTAAAATATAACTATTATTATAAGAGTAGTTATCTTATACACTGTACTAAAAAGCTAGTAATAAAGATCTAAAGTTAATATAAGAATCTAAATTATTTAAGCTAATTTACTATTATACCCCTAAAGACAGTATAAATTATAAAAAAGACTATATTAATATTAAAGCCTTAAATAAAAATAATTTAATAAAACTAGCTATTTAAATGAAATAGATAAACAAAGAGTGTTTTGTACTTAAATTATATATATTTTCTAAATTAACTAATAATTCCCTAGATATAAGTACTAATAATTCTTTTTAAAACTTTACTAAATTTATAGCTTATATTAATTTAAATCTAGATATAAACCTACCTAAAGAAGCTTAGGTCTTACTAGAATATTAAAATAGGTATTACCTTTTATTAGTCTATAAATACTATAAAATAACTAGTAGGATATTTTATTATAATATATAAGACAGTAGCTAACTACTAACTAGACTTTAGTTACTTATAATGTCTACTATATATAAGTAATAATATATAGTAGGTAGCTTATAACTATTAATATACTTAAATAAAAGTAAATATTAGAGATATTTAATAAATATAAATCTATGTAGATAATAGACTATTATAATATTTAATTTTACAGTAGATTCTTAAAAAAATATTTAAGAGAGATAATAGTAATAAAGATAATATTAAAGAGAATAGTATTAAAGAGGGTAATATTAATAAAGATAATATTAATAAAGATAATATTAAGAAAGATAATATTAAGAAAGGAAATCTTAGTAAAAATAATACTAGTAAGAATAATATTAAGGGAGATAACGTTAAAGAGAATAGTATTAATAAAGATAATATTAAGGGAAGTAGTTTTAATAAAGATAGTATTAAAGGGGATAGTGTTAATAAAGATAGCGATAATAAGGATATATTAGTAGAAATAGAAGAGATATAGAGATATTATAACTACTAGTAGCTATATTAGCCTTAGTAGCTATATTAGCCCTAGTAGCTATATTACTATATATATTAGGCTAATAATATTCTATTAGTTACTAAGTAAAAACTAGTAATTATATTATCTTAATTATAAGTATTTTAAGTCTAAGAAATTTATAAGTCTTAATTAAGCTATAGTTATTAACTTTTATAGTACTAATTAGTAGTAAGTATCTTAATTATATAGTCTAAAGTATTATTTAAAAGCTTCTAAATACTATTTCTTTAGTCCTTATTCTACTTAACTATATTATTACTAATTTAATTATATTATAAAGTTTATACTTTAGTTTTATTATTATTTCTTATATTTAATTAGCTACTATTTAGTTAATTAATCTACTTCTATTACTAGTTAGTTACTTATTTATACTTATTATTATTATCTTTTTATAGTTTTTTATATATACTTTTAGTTAACTAAAGTTCTAAAAAAAACTATTAGAAAAGTATAAAGTAAAGAAGACCTATATAGTATAGTAATCTAAAGAGAAATACTAATAATCTCTAATTTATTAAAAATACTTTATTAATTAGTTAAAGGCTTATCTTAATAAAAGTATTAAATTCTTCAAATTTAAGATATTTAATATTTTAGCTATAAGAAAAAAGTATTTAATTAAGTAAAGCCTAGATATAATCTAAGATATAAAGCTCTTAACTAACTTATATTATTATACTTATTTAGCTTATAAAAAAAGGTTTATAGTCTAATTTAGCTAAAAGATAAGTCTAAAAAAAGAAAAAAGGGTTATTAATCTTGTATCTATATCATTAGCCTTTCTTATATAGGCTTTTCTCTCAAGTTAAATAAAATATTTTCTTTTATATATTCTTATATTCTAGAATAGCTTTAAAATTAATTTTCTAATTACTTTACTTTATTTAAATATTCTATATTATAGCTTTATATAATGTATTTTTATATTTCTCTTTTATATATTACTATAGAAATATATTGTTAGCTAGTTATCCTAAAGTATTAGCCCAAAGTAATAACTAAAATACTCTCTAGAGACCTATACTAAGTATATCTACTCTCTTTCTACATTAATATATTAACTCTGTTTTTATAAAAACGTGTTTATTCTATTTCTATATAAATATCCTTACTATATTTTAACTAATTTCTAAAATTATTATAATAGAAAACAGGTTTCTTTTTAAATTTAAAGTAAATTATTTATAACTTATATATAATAACTAAGCAAAGGTTTAGGTTATATATTATTAAAGTGTAATAAAATACGTTTTATTAACTTTTTAAAATTATAGTTAGGTTTATAAGAATAGTATAGTACATCTTGCCTAGCTAAAGTCTAACTTACTACGCTTATATAAGCAGTAAGTACCCTATATTCAAGGTATAAGCTGTTATCTAACTTCGCCGCCGTTCCTGAGCAGGCCCCAAATATAGCCTCAATGCTGACCATCACTCTTATGCAAGAAGTTTTTGCCACAAACCTACTCCTTGCTAGGACGCGGCATATTGCCCTCCGGTTTATTTTGACCTCCCGAGGGACAAGTTCGTTTGTTGCTTTTGTTCCCTATAGCTCCTTCGCAAAGATGAGCACCGGAAACGAACCAGCCAGCTCTAATGCAGCACCCTACAGCTTCACTCTCAAGGATCTGACACCATCCACATGGGCAGATCACCCTCTCGGCAGAACAGCTTACGGCATGAAAAGAGCAGGCTTCCATCGTTGGGGATTCGTTATTTACAGGGCAACATATAACGACGATACAGCTTGGGAACGCTATCTCAAGGCGCTGAAGCTTACTGTACGACGTGCTCTTGCGGATGAAGGAGGTGACGTGCTTCTTGAGCAGTACATAGACTGTAAGTAACCCTTCCCTCCCTACTCTTTTCATAATACCATACTAATAATTCTAGGGCCTGTGATCGCTGATCAGCCTACGCTTGATGGAGCGTCCAAAGCCGATGTCCGAAAGCACTTTAATTCCTGGTGTGCAGCCTGTAGCGAAGAGCGCGATGGTCCTGGCGCTACCAAATCTAAGACTAAACGGCTACCACGGTTTAGGTACTGTGTTTACGTGGACCGGAAATGCCTTGACACGCTGGCTAGGTTGCCAGCTAACCAGGATAAGGAGGACTATGATGAACTTTCTAATGTGGTGGCTGTAGTTATTGATGGTGCTTTTGATAAGAGGACTCCTGGGGACGATAAGGGTTTGTACCCTGATATCGAGGGCTGCACTGAGCGCTACGTGGGTTGGAGGTATGAGGGCATTGACATGCTAGTCAACACGTACGAAGAGTCCCATAACTACCCTTTAAGCCACATCGACTACAAGCGCCCCCCTCTTATCTCACCAGACGGATTAAGCTCAATGCCCGTATAAAGTAGGCTAAGCTTACAGCTTTGTTATACATCTTTCAGAAAGCAAACTTATCAACTGGTTTTTTTAATTGCTTCTCCTAATGTCAATTTTGAACCCCTAATCATTAAGAGTTACTTAATATCAGGCGGCGGTTGAATGTATTGAATTTGATCTGCAAGTTCATCCAAAATATGTTGAACGCTAGCAGCATTAGGAGGCAGATTGCCAGCTCGCGCGAGTTCGCCAAACCGCAACCGTATGTCGAGGATACGAGCCGCTAGCCAACCTCGTGTGCTATCAGCAGCCTCACGGTACCAAGCACTATCAAATTCCCGGTGAATCGCTACAGCGTCGCGTAAGGGAGCCACAACCCGGGCTATGGCTATGACGGCAGTTCGGAGTTCTTGGCGATTGCGCTGAACTGTCGGTAACGCGTCTGGGTGATTGATGTAACGGAAGACACCAATAGACATCCGCATGCCGTCGAACAATTCATTTTGTGCCGTCACGCTGCCCCGCGCCGTATCTCGTAACAACCGTCGAAACCTAAGGTCCCCGATAGGGCTCGGTCGGGTCCCGACATCGTTGTTCACGTCCCCGTCCTCGTCAGAATCGGAGTCTGAGTCCGAACCCGAGTCAGACGAACCGTCATTGGAACCGTTGTCGCTATTTTCTTCTGGTGAAGGTTGACGCAGGTTGAAGATTCGACCCTTCATCTGGTTCATAACACGCTCACAGAGCAAAAGCGGGAATCGGTTTCCCTGCGACCCAAGACGATCAAACAAATAGCCGTTAGGTGTCAAGATTTCCTTACTGGATCCCGCGCGGGGCAAGTTTGATGGCAGGACATCGGCGTTCCAGTTGTCCGCCAGATCTGGGCCGTGGAGGAGGCCGTTAGACGTGGCCGAGCCGTTAGGGAGGATGCCGGTGGCCAAGGTCCTGACGAAATCACGGACGTATTGCCCATCGGGGTTGTGCTCCGTGTCGTAGGTCGCTCGGATATGATCAGAAGCCATTGTACTTCTGTCCAAGACCTCTATTTCGGTCGAGCTGCAGTTATTCTGTACCAGCCTGAAGGCGTTATTGCTGGCCGGGGTGCTTCGCGTACTCTTGTGGAGATTGCTGGAGCCTGGATACGCTCTCATCTGCAATTTCAGTTTGAAGTTATGGACGATATCGTTAATGACCTGCTGCCAGCTGACATTGAACGGTGGCCGCTTGCTGCCACGCCGGTCGAGCTGGGAGCTGATGTACTTAGCGTCGCAGAATTCTGGCTCGCACTCATCTTCGTCAGAGTAGTCATCCGCGTACAGGTCCTCGTCGCAGTTGTACCCGGAGCCAGGATATTCACAGAGCCCTTTGCTGCATGTGGGTGTCTCGAAGATGTCGTCATTGGGCGTGCAGCAGAGTGCCTTCTTCCGGCCCCAGAGACAGTCTAAGAGGCTGTCTCCCTGCGAATCGGTGCGCAACGTCACCTCGTTGGCTGAGCATGTGTTGTCCGCGCAGTCGCCCTTACCAACCCAGTGGCAGCTTCGGAGTGACGGTTGGGAAGACATGCAGCAGTAGTGAGACATGTATTTAAAGAGGTTGCAGCTCTGGTCGGGTGTGGTAACAGCTGTTGCAACGTCATGCTCGTCGCTTTTGCAGCTTTCTTCACTGTTTATTTGTTAGTCAGAACCAACATTAATAGGACAGCTCCTGATAAACCCACCAACCACTCCAGTAGCATTGGTCAGTCAACTCTTCGTAACTGTCCATGCTGCAGCAAAAGTACTTATAGCCTCGGCTACATTGGTTGTTGTTCCCGCCGGACTCAATCGGCCAGCCACCGTTTCCAGACTTATATAGGGTAACCTCGCCTTCGTGGCATTGCCCGTTACAGTCGCCGCCGTTTCCTCTCCACATGCACTTCTCCGGAGCGTCCCCTGCCTTGCAGCAGATGGGCTGACCCCAGGTACCCCCGATACCGCTGCAAATGCTCTTGTCCCAGCCGACACGCTTGTAACCCCGACCACAGGCCTTGGAATATCCCAGCTTGTCGATGTCATCCTCAATATCAACACACTTCTCGGTACGGAAGCACGTCTGATTGAGGTTGACCATCTCGATATCATGGCCGCCAGCATCTTGGCTGCCCTGGTCTCCGATGACTCTCTGCACGCACTTGTCAAAGGGACAGTAGCCCCTTGAACAGGCAAACGCGCACAAGCCATGGCCGTCGTCTTTGATGGTGCCGGCTATTAGGTCGACGGTGGCATCGAGCCAGTCGAGCTCGCCCTGGCTCAAACATATGCAGGCAGCAATAGGGCAATACCCATGCCTACAGGTAAAGCTGCAGAGCGCGGCGAGGTCGCCGGGGCCGGTGCCGGATACACACGCCGGGGGTTGGAAAGGTGATACCACGGGCTCGATCAATGGATGTTGCGTAAGGCCACAGGCCTCCTCCGGACAGAAACCATACGAGCAGGCCGACGAGCAAAGGCCGACATAGCTGGAGCCTCGGCCCTCTAGAGCGTATCCCGGGGGCCCACTTCCGTTGGGATACTCGAACTCTGTGCCCAGGGCAGTGCAGACACAAGCACCCTTAGGGCAGTACCCGTAGCTGCAAGTAAACTTGCAGAGCCGATTAAAGTCGTTAGCACCCCATCCCCCGATGCATATCTGGTTCGAAAGCGACGGTACTGTCACACTGCGTGACGCCGCCATCATCTTGCTACCCGTGGTAGGGTTGAAGTTGTGATAGCCATCACTGCCGCAGTTCCGTCCGACGTCTGGGCCTGTGACGCTCATGATGGTCTTGCCGCCTCGGATGAGCCTAAATTCAACGCCGCCTTCTCTTCCGTCAAATGGCACGCCTCCGTGGTAGATACCGGCGCTGCCTTCTGGTTTGTTCCTCCAGGTGCTCCTGTATGCAGATCCACCAATGACAACGTGTAACTCGGCGTCCTCTGTGAGCAGAGCCGAGAAGAAGACCTCATCCGACACTAACTCAGAGGCCTTATACTCTAGTTGGACCTGCGATGCCGTGTTACCTGTAGTTCCGCCGTCATCACAGTCGTTACCGTATACTCTTCGGTACCAAAACTCGACCCCCTCTTGTGTTATAGTAGCCGTATCATGCTTATAAAGGTCGATAGTGAAGGGTAGCAGAGTCCGCCAAGCGTCATGGGGACGGTCTAGGGCGTAGTTATAAGGTGATTTACCCGTGTTAAAAGCCACAAGCGCATGGTCCCTAACAGGGCCGATATGATGAGACTCGCCATAGTCGTTCCATGAGATAATCTGTACCCATTCAGGCTGATACCAACTCACCTGCACCCAACGGTCGTACCAGGCGTGATCTCCACGCCAGAGCCAGTTCTTACCAAAGCCAGGCATATTAGTATAAAACCAAGGAGAGACAGGCATCATATACGGCTTCCCGCCTAGGAACTCTTCATATGAAGCATCGGTATAGGTGTCCATATCATGACCACCCCAGGCCCACGCGTCCCAGCTGAAAAGTCCGTCCGCGACGCCTCCAGCACGTTCCATAGCTCTCTTGGCCCCATCGGAACTCCAGTCTGGTACGAAGAAGCAGCCTGTTTGAGCCTTGATATCGACCCAATCTTCCGCCTGTGCTAGGCCCTCAAAAGTCGACACAAAAGGTTTACCCTCGTGGCGAAAGTGAGCTGGGCTACCACTGTACTTCTGCAGCATTTCGATGACGACTTGTTTCTTCCAAGGCCCGTTGCCAGCGTAATCAAAGCTGAAGAATAACTGAAAGCCAAGCTGTTCAGCCTTATCAAAGACAGCCTTAACCAACTTTTCGTTCATTTCTTCGCCCTGTGCCATGTTAAGCGCAAAAGCATCAATATATGCCTCTTTTACCTTGTTAATGTCATCCGCCCAGTCCAAGTCCATATACTCAGCCATGTTGCTAACCTAATGTGCGTCCAGATCAGGAAATTACTTCTCGTTTTTAATCTTAATTACATTGTTTATTAAATATACTATAAAGTAAGCAAAAACTACTTTAGCCCTTACTTAAAGGGCCTATAACAGCAGTGCTACTACTAGCAAAAGAGGCCTTATCTTACTATAGGGTTAAAAGATTTACCCTACTGTAATTTAGTGCTGTTAATTTCAAGGAAAAATAACAAATATAGGCCCCATCTGACCAAACGGTCCAGCAATCACACTCATTTAAGCCACAAGGAACTCTGTTCACGTCAATTCACAGAAGTAATTATCTAAATGACTCGCCCCTCCAGCCATGATCTCTTGTCTTTCAGGCACCGTAATCCCCCCTTGGAACGGAGCCTTGATCTTTGGTTAGCCGAGGCCTCATCTCCTGATGTGCCTCCTTTGTACAGAAGCGTGCGGTCCACCGGCGGAATGGGTTCTGATGCATTTCGAAATTTCTTCAAGGTTGCCACAATATTGCAACTAGACCCAGCCGCCTGCGGTGAGAGACGTGCTGTGCCGCTGGGTACGACTGCCACTCTAGGTTAGCGTGATCCACTCGGTGTCTTCAGCCGGCCAAGAGGCCGTCGTCGATGCAACATCAAACCAACGACAGAAAGAAAATGAGCTACAGAACCAACAAGACGGTCCTCGGCTAGAATGAGCGAGGCACACAGCCAACAGACTGGGTGTCAGACCTAGACAGTTCATATCCGAGACACATGTTCAAGCCATGGTTGATTCCCTATTGCATCAAAAGATGTAGAGTAGTATGTTCTTGAAACCTGGTTTTATTTCTTGATCCAGGTGAGAGAGACATGTCAAGAACAATAACGCATCACTCGCTTAGGAGGAATAGATCAATACGTACGATATTTCTAGGTACCAAGCTGTCGTTTGACACTTGGCAACACGACTTATCCGGAGCGACTGCAACTGGGGTTAAGTGGAAAAATCACCACGGACGTTTTTTTTCGTTGCATAGGCGGCTTTTGAGGATTGGTCAAACTCCAAATAACCATCGCGGATTGGTCAATCTAATTATGCACGTAGACTGTTGTCACCAAAGATATCGTGAAGTTAGAGGCAGGCAGGGCAAAGTTAAGGGCAGGCGCCGCAGGCAAAAGGCCCTGCGCAGCGGCCTCCGGAGGGCTCCCGGAGGGTTAGGGGGGTTCAGGGTGGCGGAGCGCCCTGGCAATGAGCAAATCCGTATATGAGAATCGAAAAAATCCTTTTATTGTTATTGGTTTATTTTTATTTTTTAAAAAAAGCATCAAAGTAATGCGAACAAATGGGAGGCGAACGAAGGGAGGCGGGCAAAGGGCAGGTGGGCGGAGGATGGGGGGGGGGGCGCGTAAGCTTGCGGACAGGGCTGCAAGCGTGGGTCGTCTAATTCCAAACGCACTAGCAACAGGGGCTCCTGGATAGTCAAGGGGTCCAATGGATGAATCCGCAGCGTCGTGCATGATGGTCGCGAGTGAGAAAGGTCACTGGTGTCCTCGGACACCTTCCACATTCGGAAGATGACGTGGGGGCAGACTGTGATGCACTAGGAAGTCTGTGGAAAAGAGGCAAAGCAGGAAAGCGCGTCGGGCATGGGAAAATTTTAATGTGCGGTAATTGACTATGGCAGAACGGGAGCCGCGGCTGTCGCTCAATTAGCGTGGGTTAAATATCCAAAGCATCACGGCTCTCTTTGACACGGGTGAGGATTATGACCCATCACGACACATCGACGTGGATGCTGAACTTTCAAGTCTTGTTCTTGGTCTTTGGGCCAATTGTAAAAGTCGATAATTCAACGTCCGTTCTTTTGGTATGGCGCTGAACACATCCACAATCGTTTAAACAATGTTCAGCTTAGGGGCTTTCCTTCTCGTTCTGTGGTGTCTCGAGGCCCACTTTGCTTTTGCTCAGCAGTTTCCCATGATGAAGATGTCGTATGAGACATTGAACCTCAGTGGCCCCTGCTTTGAGGCCCTGAACACCACCGTCGAGTGTTCTGACCGGCTGGCCAAGCACGTTGCTTGGGAGTATGTCTTAGCTTGGATTTTCATTCTCCAAAAACCATCTGGCTAATCTTTCATTTCTCAGCGCATCCAGTGTTGGCCTTCTCGACCAGAACGGCCTAGCAGATGTCTGCGAAGACACATGCAGACAGTCACTTGTTGACCTACGTAAAAGGATCTTAGGCTCCTGCAACTTCAATACCGACGCCATCCAGTATAGCTATCTAAGCTTCCCGGCAACATATATTGTCGACAGATACCTGTACTTCTATGACGTCTCCTGCTACAGAGACAGCTCCTCGGGCATCTTTTGCGATACTATGGTGGCCGGCTGGCGCAACGAGACAGATGGCTCGGAGGCGCACTTTTGCCATGACTGCTGGCTAGGCCCCATGTCTGTCCAACTCCAATCGCCCATCGGGTTCAACGAAGACCGCGCCAAAGAGTTTGCGTCACTAACCAGGAGCTGTTCCGTTGACGCCTACGCCGCACCCACCCCAATGCCGTATGGAGAGATGACTGCCACCTTGGAAAACGTCACGACTACGGTCCAGGCCCCAGCACAGGATACTGCGACAGCTACAACTGCAGCCACCGAAGTGACCTCTGCTAAAGAGATGATTCCGTCTATCTATCCTCTACTAGAGTTAGGCACTGCCGCCAGTGCCGATACCACAGAGGGCAGGGAGAAGACAAGGAGGCAGCGGAGAAACCGTTCGAAGAAGACCTCAAAGCAGAGTACGGTCCGACAGGCCAACCCACGTGCTCCGGGTACCTCCGAAGATTGCCTCAAGTACCAGAGCTTTCTGCCCTTCGAACTCGTTTACAGGGAGGCCGATCAGGGAAAAAAAGACCTAGATGACTTTGGCATTAATGACTGCAAGTACACAGCAACCAAGCATAGTGTTAGTCGTAAGTAAGCCTAGACAACGGTCAAACCAATAGGCATGATTCCAAAGAAGACAGCGCTAACTCTCTGTTCTAAAGTGGAAAGCTTCTTGGCTTGGAACCCTAGCCTTGCCAACACGAAAGACTGCAAGCTCCAGCGAGGATGCAGCTACTGCGTGAGGCGACCATTCTCATCGCCCAAGACTCAAATCAGTAAGTGACTACTTTTCTTTTTCTACCCCATCTTCTATTCTATGCTTTCCGCCTTTTTCCCTCTTCTGTCCTCCTGTTCTATCCCCCTTTCAATAAGTATTAAAATTTCGCCTGGAATGTGCCATGCTGACTTGAAAGTTGCTCCTGTTGCCTCGAATGCAACGCTAAACTCCACCGCGGCGGGTATACAACTAACCTCCACACCATCCCGAGAAATAAAAAAGGGCCCAGCTCCGCCATGAGTGGCATGGCCCCGGCAGCGCCTGCTTTTAGTCAGTTAACACTCAGGCTTCAGCTGCTCTCATAAGTCAAGAGATAACTCTAGCATTAATATTTAATACCTAGATCACCATCTGCACACAAGTGTTAGTTATTCATCCTTTGTAATAAGTCATGAGGTGTGTAATTAACTGCTCGCGGGACGCTTGATAAAGTTTTAAAGATTGGATACCCCTGTCCCCCCTGGAATCGGTAGCAAAAGGACTATTCTAGGCAGCAGTAAAGGAAGTACAAGAC